TGGATGGATTGTTACTTTTTTTTTTTTTTAAAGATTTTATTTAATTATTTGATAGCGCATGGGTGGGGGTAGGAGCAGACTCCCCACTGAGCATGGAGCCCAACGTGGGGCTTGACCCCAGGACCCTGGGATTATGACCTGAGCTGAAGGCAGATGCTTAACGATTGAGCCACCCAGGTACCCTGGATTGTTATTTTTTTAAAAGCAAAGTAGGAAATAATGTTGGGGAGGGGAAGCGAGGCAAGGGGAGGCATGGCATGAGCCAGTTACTCAATAACTTTTGGGTACCTTCCAGGTGAAGAGGCTAGGAGTCCAGAGTAAGTACACATGGTCCTAGCACTGAGGTCCTTGCATGGTCCTTGTAGGACAGAGGTAGTGACAAGTAAGAAAACCATCACAAAGATTGGGGGGTGGGCCTGATGATTTGGGGAGTGGGGAGGAAAGCTTCCTAAAGGAGATACCCAAGTTGGATGTATAGGAGTTAGTTGTAGTGGAAAGACATTGCAGGGAGAGCATCTAGGAAGAGGTATCCCAAAGAACCATTCGTTTGACCGGCAGCTAGGGAGTGCCTTGAAAGCAGGGGCCATGGCCCTCCCGAATCTCCAGTACCTTGAACAATGCCTGACACATGCATGGTAAATGCCTTATTGAGTGAATGCCTGAGTTGACACACTGGGGAACAGGGTGGGAGAAACTGTAGGAGAAACAGACGGGGCTCAGACGTGGAAGACCTCATGAAGCACAGCAAGGATCAGCTTTTGAAGGCGACAGGGAGCCATCTGAGGTTGCTACCCAGAGGAGAGAGGACAATCCGATCTGTCCCATTTCTTAACACAAATATTTAAGTCTGTGAATTTTCCTCTGAGCAGGAAAATCTTCCTGCTTTTAAACACATGTGGAAAGATCTTCCATTTTCCTCATTATAACGGGAAAAGAAATTTAAACTACAGTGAGGTGTTTTCCACTACCAGGTCTGCAGAGATCAAAAAGCTTGTAATACATGGTGTTTGGGAAGGAGTCACCCTTGTTCCTTGTAAGGTAGAGTGTAAACTGATACCCCCTTGGAGGGCAATGTCTAAATTTTAGATGCATGCACCTTTTGTCCCAGCAGATTTGTTTCTAGAAAGTGATCTTATAAATATGCTTGTGTGTGTGTGAAATAAAGCACTTACTAGATTATCAGTTCACTGCTGTGTATTATTTGTCTGTTAGAGCAACCCAGTGCCCTTGTCAGCAGGAGGCTGGTCAGATATAGTCGGGTCCATCGTACAGTGGAATAGCAAGTACCTGGAACAAAGAATGAGGAAACCCTTCCTTTGCAGTGCAGGATGACCTTCAAGGCCTGTTATTAAGAGAAAAAAGCTGGGCACCCTGATGGCTCAGTTGATAGAGCACGTGACTCTTGATCTAGGGGTTGTGAGTTTGAGCCCCCGGCTCGGTGTAGAGATTACGTAAGTAAATAAATAAACTAAAGAAGAAAACTTAAAAAAAGCAAGGTACAGAACAGAGTGAGGAGTATGCTTCCTTCCATTTGATAACAGAAAATACATATATATATATATATACACACGCATAAAATATTTTCTGGAAGGACACACAAGAAATCAGTAATGGGTGCTTCTAGAGACAGGACCCTGGGGGATTAGGGACTGGGAAGGGAAAATGGCTTGTCACTTTTACCTTTATTCAAAAGAAATACAGTTAAGTTCTCAAGAATAAAACATATCTCTGTTACTGAAAAAATCGGTTTCTAATATTAAGTTAAAAAAAAAAGCAAGGTACAGAATGGACTATGTATTGTACTTGTTGGGGAAACAAAATTGATAACATTTTATCTGGAAGATATTTGGAAGAATACACAAGATGTTAATAATGGTAGTTTTGCCTTGGGGGTGCGATGGGGGGTTGCAAATTCAGAGAGGGAGTCTTCTTTTTTCATTAAAAGTATGCCATTTTGTGTAGTTTGAAAAAAATTTTAACACAAAATTTATGACCTATTAAAAGTAGATTAATAGAAACATGGATGAATGAATGCCTGGTTGGTTGGGTACATGGGTGGGTAGACGTATGGATGGGTTGCTGCATGGGCAGGTGGATGGATGGATGGATGGATGAGTTGGTGCATGGGTGGGTAGATGGATGGATGAGTTGGTGCATGGGTGGGTAGATGGATGGATGAGTTGGTGCATGGGTGGGTAGATGGATGAGTTGGTGCATGGGTGGGTAGATGCACAGATGCATGGATGAATGGGAAGAGAGTGGGTGGATAGATAGATGGGTAGATGATGGATGGGTGGGTGCGTGGGTGGGTAGATCTATATCTGTGGACGCACGTATGGATGTCCAGATCAGTGAGATAACTTTGGCTGTAGTGGGGGAGGACTGAGTGGGGCCAGGAGGGCTGGAAGCAGGGAATGGTTAGGAAATTATTGTAGTAGTCCAGGCAAGGAATGACTGGGGCAAGGATCAGGTTATAGAAATGTCTCACACATGAACCAAGCTTCTGGTATACATAACTGCATATACTAAGGCCCAGCATTATTTTTACTAGAAGGGCAAATTCCTTTGGAATGAGCTTTTTCTGGCAACTGCTCAGAAACGGTTCTGTATATAACTAACCACCGACAGTTTAATCCCCTTTTCCACCATCACCATAAGAATTACAAGTGATGTGAAACCAGTTAAAATAATCAGTCTTTGATGTAAACCACACTTGTTCTTATTTATAAGACCGTCTTCCAAATGCCCAAATCCACAGAGGCATGACCTTTGTCCTTTTTTAGGGTTTCTTTGTGTCTAGAAGTTTCTCAGCTAATCCCTTTGTGTGCGTTGACCTTTTAAAGTTTATTTTTCAATGATTTCCTGTTCTTGGTTCTGGAGAAATAACTGTTTATATCACAGAATAATTACACGTCTGAAGAACCAGTTTAGGTACCTGGTTAAGACCTAGAGCTCACTCGCTCGCTCTTTTTTAAAGTCAAATCCTTTCTTTCCTAAACATCTTAATAACCGTTTGGAAGTGTACACTTCAGGAGTGTTAAATATACTCACATTGTTGTGCATAACTAGGTCTCTTTTCTGAGAAGCTCAGAGCATGTATTTTGATCAGATTGTCAAATGTGTTTTTTAAGTGAAATGATCTTTTTGTTCCCATTCCCTTATCTTCAACGGTCTTGAATGTGGCTTGAACGCTTGATACAGAGCCGTAAGATTCCAGGTTCCTTGGAGTTCCTTGGTGGTCTCACTTAACCTGATTCTGGGGAGGCTGTAGGGATCAGACATAGCTGGAGCTTTCTAGAGGACTCACCGACTAGTGATGGGAAAAAAATGCTAGGAGGGAGGTAGGCTGCATGGGGTCTGGGGCCAGCTTGAAGCATGTGGGCCTCGTCCTGAGATGTGTTGCTCCCCAGCCCCTGCTGATGGTTGTGAAGCAGGAATTTGGGCCCGGTGCTGTCAGATTTTTCTAATTTTCTTTTAAAGATTTTATTTGTTTGTCAGAGAGGGAGAGAGGGAGAGAGAGTGAAAGCATGCGCGCACAAGCAGGGGTAGTGGCAGAGGGAGAAGCAGGCTCCCCGCGGAGTAGGGAGCCCGATGCGGGGCTCGATCCCAGTACCCTGGGATCATGACCTGAGCAGGAGGCAGACACTTCACCGACTGAGCCACCCAGGTGCCCCAAATTTTCTAATTTTCTAAGAAAAGTCAGATCTAAACTTTTATATGAAATTTTCTGATTTTAAATGCTGGCAGAGAACCTCAGATTTTTTTTTTTTTAAAGTGTGCTGAACCAACAGCAATAACAACAAACCAGCTGTGAGCCAAATTGGCCCCGGTGCGGGGGTTGGGGGGGCACCTGTGTCAGATCTCTGACGTTATCTGACCCAGTCACGGTAGAAAAAGGAAATTAAAACCGTAAGATAGGGTAATAACTTTTGCAAAGTTGTAGAACTGGTCAGTGGTCATTCACTTCTCCCTTTACAGAAGTCCTAAACGTTGGCTTTAGTTTATTCTTGGACCTTTATACCCGATCTATTTATTATGTCTCTGCTTATCTATTTGGCCCGTTTCTAGTGAAACACGTGCGGGTTCTTTAAAAAGCAATTCAAACTAATTTGTTTCTGAGGCTGGGTAACTTAGTGGGTCACCATAGGGACTTCAGAACCAAATTGTCTGAGTTCGATTTGGGCTCCAGATCTTACCTGCTGTGTGATCCTGGAGCAAATCGCCAATCCTCTCTGTGCCTTTGCTTACCCTTCTGAAAAAGGGCTGACGAAGCACTCACAGAATTAAGGGGGATAATGCAGATGAAGCACTTAGAATAGAACCTAGCACAGAGGACTACAATTTGGTCGTTATCCATGATGCCGAGGCTGCTAATGGTGGTGATGGCAGTGACCATGATGGTGGTGGTGGTGCTGATGGTGGTGATGGGGGCAGACAAAAAGACTTTCTGAAGTCCTCAGGTGACAAGATGGTAAAGTAGAATGATGCATAATGACAAAAGGACTCTTCAGTTGACAGGGGAATACCCTTCCGGGTTTCTTCAATGGCAGACGCCATCTTTTGTGCGACGGTGGAACTTGCCCCAGGTCCCAGGACTTAGCTGTTCTGTGAGACAAGACCTACCTTCATGCCTTATTTTTGTTTCATAGTCTTTCTGGCTCCTGATCTTTCCAGTTTGCACGTTCTACCCGAGAGGGCCTCCGGTGTAGGGTCCTATTTTCTTTTTTTTTTTTTTTAAAGATTCTATTTATTTATTTGAGAGAGAGAGCATGAGAGGGAAGAGGGTCAGAGGGAGAAGCAGATTCCCCGCTGAGCAGGGAGCCCGATGTAGGACTCAATCCCGGGGCCAGGATCATGACCTGAGCCGAAGGCAGTCGCTTAACCAACTCAGCCACCCAGGCACCCTCCTGTCTATTTTCTTAACACGGTTTTGATCTCCACACAGTCGCCTGTACCTCCTTGGTGCGGCCTCTTGACCCTGCATCTCTTTCTGTCCTCAGGCGTGGGACGTCACGTGGAACACCAGCAACCCTGACTTCACCAAGTGCTTTCAGAACACGTTCCTCATGTGGGTGCCTTGTTCTTACCTCTGGGTCTGCTTCCCCTTCTACTTCCTCTATCTCTCACGCCATGACCGGGGCTACATTCAGATGACCTATCTCAACAAAACCAAAACTGTAAGTCCCTTGGGATTTCCTCATGGTGGGGGAGGCGGGGTGTGCTTGCGTTGGGGACCGGTGGTTGGTGAAGACCGACATGTTTCTTCTACCCAACCGAGTTCCTTTTTCTAGAAGGCAGACATGACGTCGTGGTTGAAGGCTGAGGCTCTGGTTTTAGACATGGGTGCAGATGCGGGCTGTGCCTCTTCCTAGCTTTATGACCTTGAACACATGTTTTGACCTCCCTGAGCCCTGGATTCCCCATCATTACAGTGAGCATGCGAGGCTCGACCTTGAGAGATTATCAGGAGATAATCAGGAGGTCTTCCTACCTGCCCCGAGGGTATCCTTTTTATTCCCACCCCCCCCCCAAAAAAAGTTTTTACCTTGAAACGATTTCAAACTGTGGAAGAGTGGCAAGGAGGATCCCAGGAACTCCCCCCAGCGCTGAATACCTGTTACTCACAGTCACCAAGTTCTAACATTTTGCCACACTTTTTTATGATTGGCTCTTCCTCTCTCCGTGCACACATATGATTTGTTTTTTCTGAACCATTTGAGAACCGGTAGCATCAGTGTCATCTTTACTCGTTGGTTCTTCTGGCGTGTCTTTTCTCAAAACGGGCATTCTCTTACGTGACGACAGCGCAGTTCTTAAATTCAGGCAATTTAACGTGGACACAATACTTTTTAAAAATCTGTCCGTATTTCAGTTTTGTCACTTGCCTCAATCCTGTCCTTTCTGGCACTACTCCCCCAGTCCCATTCAAGATCCAGTCTGGATTCATGCATTGCTTTTATTTTTTATTTTTAAAAAAGATTTTATTTGAGAGAGAGTGAGTGAGCGGGAGGGAGATGGAGAGAGAGAATCTGAGGCAGACTTCATGCTGAGTGCGGAGCCCAACGTGGGGCTCCATCTCACCACCCTGAGGTCATGACCTGAGCCCAAACCAAGAGTCAGACGCTTCACCGACAGAGCCACGAGGGTGTCCCTCATGTGGTGCCTTTAATCCTGCTGTCTCTTGGGAGACTTTAATCTGGAAGAACACCTCACCTTCCTTTGACACTGATGGATTGGAAGAATGGGGGAGTTGCTCAGCTCGAGCCTGCATGATGTGTCCTCATGATGTGGGTAACGCATGTCCAGTTGGAAAACCACGGAAGACGTGGTGTCCCTTGGGGGTATTACACCTAGGGTCGTGTGGTGTTCATCGACCCCAGATTGAGGGGGTTCATTTTTTTTTTTTTAAAGATTTTATTTATTTATTTGAGAGAGAAAGAGAGAGAGCACGTGAGAGAGGGGAGGGTCAGAGGGAGAAGCAGACTCCCTGCTGAGCAGGGAGCCCGATGCGGGACTCGATCCCGGGACTCCAGGATCATGACCCGAGCCGAAGGCAGTCGCTTAACCAACTCAGCCGCCCAGGCGCCCCTGAGGGGGTTCATTTTGATCGCTAGTCAAAGTGTTGCCTGGTATGTCCACCGTACAGGGACCGTGTCTCCCCTTCAAGAATAAGCTTTCTCAAGGAAGACATGAGAAGAGCAGCTACATGTCACACTCCTCATTCTACTCGGTCTTCTCCGCTTAGCAAGTATCTCACTTCATTTTTAAAGCCATGTTTCCCGAGACTTAGTGTCCCCAAAACAGGAAAACTTGAGTGTTTTTACTGAAGCTTTGCCTATAGTAACCCCATCCGAACGTGTCTTGTTCATGCCATACCAGATGCTATCCATTTCCCTATCCTCTCCAGATTTAATGTCTTCCTCTCAGACCTTTGGGAGCACTTTGTACTTTTTTGGGCATCCCCCCTTAAAATGTAAAACAGGGCGCCTGGGCGGCTCAGTTGGTTAAGCGACTGCCTTCGGCTCAGGTCATGATCCTGGAGTCCCGAGATCGAGTCCCACATCGGGCTCCCTGCTCGGCAGGGAGTCTGCTTCTCCCTCTGACCCTCTTCCCTCTCGTGCTTTCTATCTCTCATTCTCTCTCTCTCTCTCTGAAATAAATAAATAAAATCTTAAAAAAAAAAAAATGTAAAACAGATTTTACAAAGAAACAAACAAAAAGCCTTGCTCAGAAAGCTTCCAGTAGCTTTTCACCATGGGGAATAAAATCCTCACCCACCGTGGCCCAGCCTGATCTGGTCCCAGGCTCCTCCTCAGCTATCTACCATACTCATCACTCATTCTACAGCAACCATAAACCTGTCACACATGTTCCCCACCCCAGGGCCTTTGCGCTTCCTGTTCCTTGGAACTGAATTGTTCTTTCCCTCAAATATCCACATTTGGCTCCTTACCTGTATGTCACCTGATGGCAAGGGCCCTCCCTGACCACCCTGTGTTACCTGTTTTCTTTTTCCTCCTGTCACTTATCACTCTCTGGCATTATCTATTTTTCAGTTTGTTTCTTGCCCATTTTTCCCCCACTAGAATGTCTGCTCCATGAAGGCAGGGACTTTTGTCTGTTTCGTTCATTGTTGTATCCGTGGCACTTTGAAAAGGATGTGGCCATTAGCAGGTACCCAGTGAATGTTGTTGAATGAATGCTTACTGTGTGAGGTGCCTCATACAAGTGTCCAGTGTAGCAGATGGAGGTAAGCTGTAGATCGAGCTCTTGAATTTTCCGGGGTTGGGAAGACCAGGGACCAAACAGTCATGCCCTGGGTGCATGGTTACAGGCTAGTGTGTGATGGTCCAGAGGGTGGCTCCCCCTACCTAGGCCCTGTCCATGCTCCAGAGGCTATGTGCTGTATCTAAGGACCGCAGCTGGTAGTTTAGGGATTGACTGGTCCCTCCAAGGCTGAGCTTTTTGCAGGGGTCTGCTGGGGGAAGTTCCAGTGCCATCTCTTGTAAGACATATATGTCCTTCTCTTCCAGGCCTTGGGATTTTTGCTGTGGATCGTCTGCTGGGCAGACCTCTTCTACTCTTTCTGGGAAAGAAGTTGGGGCAAATTCCTGGCCCCAGTGTTTCTGGTCAGCCCAACCCTCTTGGGCATCACCATGGTAAGTGGGGGCTAGCTATCCGCCAGGCATCGTGGAGGCCAAAATTAGTGGCCAGAGTGTAGAAATGAGAACATCTCACAATAAAAATCCAAAAATCTGGCTTTTCTTGAAAAATTCAAAGATGGCAACCCCAGCCTCATAGTCTTCTGGAGCAACAGTCAGCCAGAACTGAGAGATGAGTGCAGCCTTTACAGGGGGCATCACTTGGCCGCAGTTTTCCCTGTGCCCTGTTGCCCTCCTTTGCCACTGAGGCTGATGGTGGGCACCATCTTTGTTGTGCCGACTGTGTTCTGTTCTTGTACTGGCTGGCTCAGCCGTTTATATTAATTGTCTGGGACCTGACGGCGCCTTGAGCTTTCAGCCTCTGGCTTAAGGGCTGGGATGCCAAGCTGAATAGGAAACTATCCTGCCCCACAGGGGTCCATTATTGTGTGGGAAACACGGCCAGGGTAACAGCTTTCTTACAGCTTAAGTCCTTATTGTGTGCCTGGAACCATTCTTGGTGATTTACATGTCTTGAAATTAGAAATTAGAATTCATCTATTCTCAGAACAACCTTGTGCCCTTTTGGCAGGGGAGGAGACTAAGGCATAGAGGCATCAAACGTCCTCAGGGTCATACAGCTAATACATAGCTGAGCGGGGGGGTGGTCGCTGCAGAGGCCATGGTTTTAGCGCCCGCGTGCCACAGTGGTGTGCTCGAATTAAGGGCCTTTCCTGCATATGCACCCCATACGTTGGTCCTCGGAGAAGCCTGGAAAGTTCTCAGCGGGCCTAGCCCTTGCATGTTAGAGAATGAGGAGGGAAGCAGGTTCGGGGCAGGATGTTTTGAGCTGGGAGAGCAGTGTGTCCAAGGAAGGGCGAGAGGCTGGGGATGAAGGAGTGGTCATCTGTGAAGTAGGAATGTGGAGTGGGGCTTTAGGGGGTGGACAGCAGAGGTGACAGAAGTTGGGAAAGGCAAGGCAAGTTGGATTTTCCAAGGCAAGTTGGACCTCTCTCATCCCAGACTACGGAGGGTTGTGGATCTTTTTTTTAAGATTTTATTTGAGAGAGAGAGAACATAAGCAGGGGGAGTGGGAGAGGGAGAAGCAGGCTCCCTGCTGAGCAAGGAGCCCGAAGAGGGACTCGATCCCAAGATGCTGGGATCATGACCTGAGCCGAAGGCAAGTGCTTAACCGACTGAGCTGTCCAGGCGTCCTGTGGGCCGTGAATCTTTATTGTACTTGTTAACAGTCCTGATCCCTTTACATATTAACTCATTTAGGGATTTTTGCTCGTTATTCCTATGTTCATAAATAAGCACGTTGAGACCCAGAGAAGTGAAGGAGCTGACCCAAGGTCACACAGCCAGTAAGTGGCAGAACCGGCTTCACACCCCAGGGTCTGCACCACTGTTTGTGGGGTTCTTTGCCAAAACCTGGCTCTCCCTGTGGCCTTTGTTCACCTCTCTGTGCCCATAGCCGGGCACCATGCCTCGCATGTAATAAGCACTCCATAAATGTGCCAAGGCAAATGAAGAGCTTGACTTTGCTGGCCTGAAATTTGGGCAAGAAGGTGTAAAGGCAGACTGGTTTTGGCTGGAGTGGTTCATGGTTCCTAAATTTTCCCTGTTCCCGGTCTTTTGATTCTTCATTCAGGAGTATGTCTGTGATGCTGGGGACCCAGGTGTGATGAGCTGAGGGTCACCAGGCTTTATGCCCTTTGAGGCTCTGGGCTAGCTAAGAGGTGAACTGGCCTGTGAGAGCCAGCCTCAGTGTCTCTCTTCCCCTGTGGGCTCCATGATGGAGTGAAGGATCGGCCTTGCTGTTCATGCTGCAGTGACATTCTCTCTGCCCCCCCGGGGGCAGGGATATACAGGCACTAGGACTATGGGATGAGGGCAGCCAGCAGATCGCCAGGAATTGGAGATAGGATAGACACAGTCCCTGCCCTCACGGAGCGTATGTCCAGTTGTGCAAACAGATACTCAACGAACGATTCCCCCAAAAGGCACAAAGTGTTTGCTCTTGTGCAAAGTGCCGTAGGGGTGAAGTTTGGCGAACGTGTTTGGTCTGGGGGCTAGGGAGGAAGGCGTGATGAAGCTGAGGCTAAACGATGAGCACGAGGTTAAAAAGTTGAAGGAGTCTGGGGGCAGAGGACTGTCCAATTGGAGAGAATAGCACGTACAAAAGTCCTGGGGTCAGAGGGAGAAATGGGGGGGGGTTGGCCTGTGTGGCTGAGGGAGAGGGAGTAAGGAAGGGAGGGGGGACAGCAAGAAGGGCAAAGGCCTGACCCCATAGGACCTTGAGCTTCAGGGTGAGTGGGTTTTATTTTGTTTTGTTTTGTTTTACATTCCCAAACGTGGGTTCTAAAATTTTTTCTGTGCCATGGGGCCCCTTTCTCCTTTGCCAGTCAGGTCTGAGGATCATGTTCCTAACATAAATACAAAGGATCGCAAAGGAAACCCAGCAGACACACACGTGTGAAGATTTTGTGATGACATCCCTGTTTTTACTTGAGGTGTAATTTAGATATGGTGTAAAATTCACTTTTTAAAAAAAAAAAAGTTCATGAGTCGTGATAAACCCACATTGTCATGTAACTACCAGCTCCACAGTTGAGATCCAGAACAGTCCCATCCCCCTAAAAAGTTCCCTCGTGCTGCCCCCGCTTTGTGGTCAGCCCCTCCCTCTACACCCCCATCCCCTGGCAACCGTGGGTGTGTTCTCTGTCCCTATCACTTTGCCTTTTCCAGAATGTCACATGAATGGCACCATGCTGGCTGGGGCTGTGTGAGACTGACTTCTCAGAGCTGCAGTTCAGCCGCCTTGTGTGTGTCCAGAGGTGTTTGGTTTGTTTGTTTTTAAGTTGCTCTGTGTGTTTGATGGCATGGTTTCACCACACATTGTTTATCCATTGTTCAGGTGCAGGGCCCTGGGTTTGGAAAACCAACTGTATTTGAACACAGTTAGCAAAAGATTAAAAAAAACAAGGGAAAAATATATGTGCACTTCAAATCAAGATCTACCAGCGAATAGGAACGCTTCTTAATTTCCAAGTCGTGATGACCGTACGTGATCGTGGGAGACCTCTTCACCTATATATTTTCAGATATGATTTCTAATGGTGACAGAGCCCCGGGTACTGCTAATGCTGTGCGGTTTATTACCTTCACTCAATGACCGGTGGTGCTGATTTGAGTGAAAGCGAGGATGTAATTGTTCTCCCATCCAAGTTCACGGACCTCTGGGTTCTAGCCACAGCCTGTCCTTGGACCCCAGGTTAAAACAGGGAGACGTTTGGAGCAAGGGTGGGGCATGCCTGGCTCTACGTATCGAAAAGCCGACTGTAGCCTCTGAGTGGAGAACGGATTGTATTATTGGGGCAAGAGGGGAAGCTGCGGGGGCCACTGGGGGGCCCATGGGGTCATGCAGTGAGAGGGGAGGGGGCTGGGGCCAGGGGGAGTGGTGGGTAAACTGAGGATCAGTCCTGGTGGCAGAGCCAGTGCGAGCTGCTGATGGATTAAATGTGCAGAGTGAGGGAGATAGGGGGCCCCCCAAGGAGGATGGATGAAGACAGGTGGATATGCTTCTGGGGAGTAAGGGCAGGTACCGTGGGTGACCTTTAGCTCCTCAGAAGTCTGGCTCATGACTGGCTTTGGGGATGGGCCTCGGGAGGCCAGCTCTGCTTGTCCGGGGAGTGACTGTGACCTTTCTCCTTCTTTGTCTTTCTTTCTCCTTCTTCTCGATTATTTTCTCTCCCTGATGGTTAAGTCATGTGCGAAATGGAGTAAGAGCCTCAGGTATCAGGAATAAAAGAAAATTCCAGCCTCCCCCACCCACCGTCATTCCAATAAAGTTTCCTGCAGATGAGATGTATAAATGTAGGCAGATGACAGAACCTTCATCTCCTTATGAAAGAGACCAGTCTTCACTGTTGCCCAGAGGAGAATAATTAGTCTCTGTCAGGGCTGGGAGTACCTGTAAATGAAGGGTTTGGCCCACTGCCTGTTTTTGTAAATAAAGTTTTATTGGCACTCAGCGATGCCCATTCATTCAGGGAAAAGTGTGCCTCTCTCTTGTAAACTGAGCTGCCCTCCGACTCTGCCATCCTGTCCCACATCTATACATAGTCTCCTTAAATTCCCACCACTTTCTCGTTACATGCTATATAGTTAAAGGCTTCGGAGGCTCCGAGGAGGTCAGTGACTTGTCCAGGGTCACCCAACAAGAGAAGAGCAGGGCTGGTACTGGAGCTGGGTCCTCCCCAGGCTGTTTTTTGGCACCACTGAGCTGAGGGCAGCCCTACTCCAGGCCTGACATCTTCCAGGACTGTGGGGGCCTGGGGCTTGGTCTTCTGACAAATCCTGTTTTATGCTTCTCTCTTGCAGCTGCTTGCTACCTTTTTGATTCAGCTCGAGAGAAGGAAGGGAGTCCAGTCCTCGGGGATCATGCTCACTTTCTGGCTTGTAGCCCTACTGTGTGCCCTTGCTATCTTGAGATCCAAAATCATGACTGCCTTAAAAGAGGTAAGTGGTGGTCTTATTCCACATCTTCCCGCAGCGGCCCCTTGGAAGGGATGCTTGCTCCTTCCAGCTTACGTCGCCATGGGGCCCAGAGGATGGGTGCTACCTGGGTCCAGCTTCTTAACCAGGGATTTCCCTAGCTCATCCAGCCTTTGTTCTAGAACCTTCTTTCCTCAGGGCCCCACTTATTTATGTAGCTTCAGGGCCCCAGGGATGGGAGCCACAGGCAAATGCACACCACCCTCTGAGCCTCAGGCGGTAGTCAACAGCAAGGCAAGTCAGCTCTAGTTACCGTCAGTCTGGAACAGAGATGAGTGGGGAGTGGTGTTTGCAGAGCGGCTGCCCCCCTGCGGGGCCTGATACCGGTCCCTGTGTTACCTCGGTGCCATCAGCTGCCACTCTGGCTCAGGAGTGGTTCACATTGGCTGCCATATGCCGCTCCCAGGAAATTGGAGGAGCGTGCTTTTTTAGACGCTACCCTGCTGTTCTCTGCCACCTTCAAGCTAGTCGGTATCTTGAACATTTATTGAGCACCTGCAGTGTTCGGTACAGGCGATCTTTGTACTCAGGGCAGCTGACCTGTATTGAGGTCATGTTTCCAAGGTGCCAGGCAGGGACGAAGTTTTTTTTTTTTCCATGAGTAATCCTATTGATGGCTCACAATTATTCTGATGGGGTTTCTGAGCCTCAGCACTAATTAGCATTTTGGGCCCGAGACGTCTTTGTTGTAAGGGGCTGTCCTGACCTTTTGTAGGATGTTTGGGGGGTGGGGGGTGGCATCCCAGGCCTCCACCCACTGGGTGTCAGGAGTGGCGCCCAAGTCACGGTGAACAGAAATGTCTCTAGATATTACCGGGTGTTCCCTGGGAGGCAACATCGCCCCCCACTGAGAACCGCTGATCCGTTTATAGAAACTGAAGTGCAGAAAGGTTGAGTGAGCTGGCAACATCGGGGGCCGGTACGAAGAGACAGGCCTTGAATGTGGGCCTGCTTCACTCCCACGCCCGAGCCTCCCCTCAGCACGTGGGCCACCCTCACAGGGTATCGGGGACCGCACCGTGATGTAACAGCCTCTCTCCTTTTGGGGGAGGTAGCTCAGGGCAGGAGAGCTTGTTTCTGGGTCTGCAGCCCGCTCCCCCACCCCAGCCTCTGCAGGCTGCTTTCAGAAAGTGATCTTCTCTTCCTCTTTCCTCGGCTCACGTTTAGGATGCTGAAATCAACGTGTTTCGCGATGTCACTTTCTACATTTACTTTTCCCTCGTGCTGATGCAGCTTGGGCTGTCCTGTTTCTCGGACCGACCGCCTCTGTTCTCTGAAACCATCCACGACCCCGTAAGTGTGATCAGAGACGTGTGTGTGTGCGCGCGCGTGCGTGTGAGAAAAATATCGCACTGTGCAAGCTCCCGTGGGTTAGCCATCTGTTCTGTGCCAATATTGTTCATCTGGGATCTCATTCCATCTTCCCCAAAGGCCCAGAGAGAGGTTGTATCATCATCCCACTCTACAGATGGAAAAATAGAGGCTTAGCTGTGGCTGGGGGCACTTAAGGAGGGAATTGAATTTATAATCGTAAACCGCTGTGTCTTGCAGGCATGTAGGTTTTCTCATTTGATTGCCATAGTGATTTTAGAACGTGAGCAAACATTTAAAAGTTAGGAAATTTCCCATAAATTCTAACTATGCAGGTTTTCTAGAAAAATGAGAAGTTCTGGCAGTGTTCAGACCATTATCCCCCACAGCAGCGGTTTGACCTCAGCTGGGGCGCATGGCCCTACTTTACCGCAGTCCCCACCACTCCCTCTTGCATTATATAGTCTTGCTTCCTTCTTTTACGGTCTGTGCCTGTTGGCCCCTGGGGTATTTGAGTTGGAGACCCTTGGTCTATTCTGTCCGTTGGAGGCACATGGAGATCCTGTATGTACCCGGGGATATGAGTGGGTGGGGTGGGGAAACAGCCAGTCTTCCTGCTGATGGAATAAAGGGGGACATAGTCCTTTACCACGGCTGCCTCCGTTCTTCCTCCCTGTTTCCCTCTCTTCCTTCCTCCTTCCCCGTCTCCCTCCTTCTCCCCCTTCTTCCCTCCCTCTTTCCATCCAGTGCCACGTACCAGGCCCCGATCTGGGCACAGGACTGTGACAATGAATAAAGCAGTTCTTGCCCAACTGACGCCTGCGTCGTCATGGGGGTGGGTGGGAGAGGGGCGGACGAACAGTAACCCAGGAGCCAAGTATTATCAGTCAGGTGGCAGTAAATCCTGAGGAGGAGAAGAAAGCCTGGAAAGGAAATTGATATGTTGGTTGAAGGTCATGGGTAGTTTCGAAGTGATAGGAGCCATCAGGGAAGGCCGGCCTCCCTCATGAAACCTCACTGGAGCGAGGGAGTGAGCTGAGCAGATACCAAGAGGAAGAGGGGTCCAGGCAGACGGCTGGCAAGTGCAAAGGCCCTGGGGAAGGAGCTGCCATGAAATGTCAGGGGAGCCGCAGGAAAGGCCAGTGTGGGTGGAACAGCGAGAGGCCAGAGCCGGCTGAGACATGGCATCTCACATGTGGGGACAGTTGCCTGCGTTCGCCTGAGCCACTGGATTTTATTCTGAGTGGGAGGGGAAGCTTTGGAGCATTTATTTGACGCTTTTGTTTGTGGTTAGTCAGCTGTTAACCGGGGGAAATTGCAGCAGGAGCAGTTTTCAGCTGCTGTGGTTCTGTTGGGTTTGGCCTGCGCCTCAGCAAAAGGCCGAGGCTGCCTTTGTGGGTGGTGAAGGCACCTGTGGGGAATTGGCGTGGAGGAGGTTGACACTTGCCAACGTGTTTGTTCAAAACCAGTGTCTTGGTGTGCGTTCTGAGAGGCCCCAATCTTGGAGTTCCCGGCTTAAGGAGGAACGGTGTTGGAGAAATTTGCAGTGTGTGTGCGTGCTAGGTGTGTGTGCAGGTTTTTGTATGTGTGCACCTGCATATATTTTTGGTCACATGTTTGCATGAAAATGTGTCTGTGCATGTGTGCATTCGTGTGTTCTTATGCGTGTGTGTGTGTTTGCATGTGTATAAAGTTCACAAGGGCAGCGACCATGCCTGGGACACCCATTGGATCCCAGCTCACACCTGGCACGGAGGAAGGGCTCAGATGTCTATGGCTTGGGGTCTCCTGTGCCTCAGCGTTTATGTACATGGCCGTGGCATGTCCCCATCAGGAAACGTTTATTAAACGTCAGGCTGTGCTTTCAAGCTGGAGAGCGCGCGCAGAACAAGTCAGACCCACCCGAGTGACTGCAGACCCCGGGTTGCTCTGAGGGTCAGCTGAGCCCGAGAGAAGCTGGCAGGGCGGCCTGGAGCTTGCCTGTAAGACCTGAAAAGCCACCCTCCACAGGGGATGGGATCTCAGGTGCTCTATGGGGGAGGGAGTTTCTGATTTCTGGTTCCCTCTGGGGATTTGGATAAAGTTCCTTTAGCTTGTTGCCCGGGTGTTCGCAGAGCTGGCTTCTTCATCCTGTTGCGTTTTCTGTGTTCCCAGCAGCCGGGGCCTGGGGCCTGCTCTGCCACACCCGGGGCCTGGGACACCCTGACTCTTGTGCCCAGCCATTCTTTTTTTCATGAGGAATCTAAGCTTAGAGAAGATGGTCGGCCTGTTAGACCCTAACTTTACACCCTGAATCTGATGCTGGAAGCAACAGGGTGTCACGGAAGAGGAGCCTCCGATTGGGGTTGGGTAGACCCTGGGCTCCCTTTAGCCCTTCAGTAGACATTCATTAAGCATCTGTTGGATACTGTGCTTGGTTCTGGGGACACAGCAGGGTGTGAAGTCGATGTAGTTCGTGCCTCACTACAGTTATCTATGACTCTGTGACAAACCACCTTTTGAATTTGGTTCCAAAAAACAGTAGTTTATTATTAGGTTTCATAGTCCTGGGCGTTGCCTGGGCCAGCTGGGCGGCTCCCCCGCGGGGTGTCTCCGACAGTAGCCACCCTCACTCACGTGTCTGGTGGTTAGCACTGGCCCCTGGCCCAAGCCTCCGATGGACTTGACAGTCCATGTCTTGGTGGCTTGGGTGACGTCACGGTGGGGCTGCTCACATCTGAGAGTGAGTGTTCCTAGACAGAGAGCCAGGTGGAAGCTGTGTCACCGCTTATGACCCAGTCCCAGACATCCTGTAGTGTCACTCCTGCCACACTTTCTCAATGGAGGCCATCCCGAAAGTCGGCCTGGGTTCGGCGGGTGGGGACACAGCCCCCACATCTAGATGGGGAAGAGGTCAGGTCTCGTCATAAGAAGAGCTTGTGGGATGGCACATGATGTCTGGCCGTCTTTGGACAGTGCAGTCTACGGGGTACCCTCAGGAAGCTTGTGGCCTTGCAGGGGACAGCCATCGAACGGGTGAGCGGACAAACAGCCGTGTAACTCCAGTCGCGATGAAGCCTGGGAAGCCTGAGAATCAGGGTCTAGGACTTAGATTTGTGACCTCAGGCAAGTCCCTCCTCCTTCCAGGACCTCAGTGCCCCCTTCTTGAAAAAGGGGTGTGGCCCCATTTGGAGGCTCCATTTGGCGCAGCCCCTTCCCACTGGGATCTGAGGCCTGTGATCAAGGGGAGGGACACTGTTAGGTGCTTTCTCTGCCTGTCTCCCCTTCCTCCTCAGGGCTTGCATCACACTGGAGCCCCAGAAATGCGGATTGCCTGGCCCCAGCTGCTCTCCTGAGGTCAGAGCTGTGGTCATCATTGCTTGTCCTCGGAGGGAGCGGTCAGCCATACCCCCAGGGTGGCCCGGCTCAGGCGGGGCCTCCGCGGGAGCCGGCAGTGCTGGGCTGCTCCGGGCTCTGTCTTGCTGAGTCACCGAAGCCGGCATCCTCCCCAGCTGGCCCTGTGCCCTTTGCATGACTCAGTCGTCTGTTCTGGCCTTGGTTTTTTGGTGGGGCTGCTCCCCTCTCTCCTCCAGGCCCTGGGCTGCATGGAATCTGGGAGTGGCTGACCAAGCCTCACAGGGCTCTCTTGCTGTTCCTGTCTGGCCCCTGCCAGTGATCCTTCCGCTTGCTGGTCCCGAGGCTCCTGCTTAGGGTGGGGCGGGTGCAGGAGGGTGTTTCCATTTGCACTTGGAGGTGTCAAGGGCAAATGTCCTAGCGTAGACCCCCCCACTTCTCACAGTGGGGTCTTCGGACCAGCTGCATTAGCATTCCCCAGGTGCTGTTAGAAATGCAGTCTTAGGCCAGTTGAACCCTGCTGGGTCAGAGTCTCGTTTTAACAAGATCCACGGGTGGTTCACAGTTGAAAAGCATTGGTTTAGCACATTCAGGAAAATCGCGCAGCTCATTTGGCATAAGAAGTATTTTTCGCCCTGTCCATAAATATGGAATATATTTTCCCCCCAGTGTTTTGCTGTGAGCATATCAAACTCACAGAAAAGTTGAAAGAATGACACAGTGAATACCCGTGTACTCACCAGTCCAATTTCACAGTTAACATTTTGCTAACCTTGCTTGATCACGTATCTGGCCAACCGGCCGGCCGGCCAGCTGACCAGCCGACCGGCTAATTTTTTTTTTTGGTATCTGAAACTTACTTTGAAATCCTTAGTATCCTTTCCCCAAACACTTCACCGTGCAAACCGCGAGCTAGAGTTCCGTATCTGTTTAACAGTTCTGTCTGATTTTCTTAAAGCAGAATTTACATAGTGAAATTCCTGAATCTGAAGTTACCGTTTGATGTTTGCTGACAGACGAGTCACCCAAGCCCCTGTTGAGATCTAGAACATTACCAGGACCCCCAGAAAGTTCCCTGCTGCCCCTCCTGGTCAGTCTGTACCCCGCACAGCCCAGAGGCAGCCAAGGAGCTTGGACTGTTTATGAAAGCATCATAAACTCTGTGTTGAAGGCTTTTCTCCTTTATGCTGTTGGCCGTTAGTAATTCGGTGTGGGGTGGGGGCAGGTGGTGCCCGGCGCTCACCCAGACTCTGAGGACCAAAATGAACAAACCTGACTATCGAGGAGAGGCCTTTGTCCAAGAAATGAGAGGCCATTGGCCAGGCCAATAAGGCTGCGCGGGAAGGTGCTCCCGGCAGAGGACCGAGCATGTGCAGAGATCCAGCCCGTATATAGGAACCTGTGGGTGTTTGGGAACTGCATGGTCTGCTTGGCTGGGCTGCACGGGCCAAGGAGCCGAGCGTGCAAAATCAAGGGTAGGATTGTGTGTCACCATGAGGACTTGTGATCTTGAGCCAATGGAAGATTCTCAGCGTGGGGAGTGACACGCTCAGGTTGGAGGTGTTTTGGAGGACCCGCCTCCCCCCACCGGCTGAAAGGAAGAGGGTGCGTGGGACACAGAGAGGCTGGTGACACAGCCATTCCTGTGA